TGTCTTCTGGACAACTGTCAGATCAGCAGTCTTCCCCATGATTGTGTAGCCTAGTGAACCAAACTGAGAGACCATTTTGAAGGCTCAGGAAACCTTTGTAGGTGTTTTGAGTTGATTAGCTGATTGGCATGTCACCATATTCTAATTTGTTGAGATAGTGAATTGGTGGGTTTTTGTTAAATGTGAGCCAAAATCATCACAATTAAAAGAACCAAAAACTTAAACTACTTCAGTCTGTGTGCATTGAATTTATTTAATACACGAGTTTCACAATTTGAGTTGAATTACTGAAATAAATTAACTTTTCCACGACATTCTAATTTATTGAGATGCACCTGTACATGATGCTGTTTTGTTCGGAATTGTTTATGCAATTTACGAAATTATGTTTGATTTACGAGTTTATTTAGACATAATGCACGTTTTTTTATAGTCAGTTATTTCCTTTGCGTTGGCAATTTAATGTGCTTCATTATTTTGCTGATTGCGCCCTCCTGTGGCTTTGGGAGACGAGCCAAAAGTTTCCTTCAGACCTATTTAATCTACATATAAAACATTAGAAATTAGATATTTGTTTAATTTTTATTTTGTGATTGACTGTTAAAACAAAAAATATTTGTTGTTTGTCTCAATAAATTGGGTTAATTTAAAAATACAGTGGTTAAATTTAAACTTTTTCTATTGTTCTTTGTTTTAAAAAAGGTTATAAAAAATGTTAATAATTAACGATACAGAATCATATGAAACATTATATCGTTGATACATTTTTTAGCTATATCGCCCAGCCCTACTTGAGACATCAAGTAGGATAATACATTATACTTTCTTTTTATAATCTGAGCTCAAAAATGGAAATATGCTTAATGGGTACGTACAATATGTACGTTTTCGCCACTAGAGGTCGCATTTTCAAAACCATAACAAAGGCGAAGTTTGATGACGCTATGAAGGAGGATGTTCACGGATGAGGTAATGAATTATTGTTTTTATTACCTGTACCTTCTAGTGTTGTCAAAAGACCCGGTATTTCGGTACCAAGTCGGTACTAAAAAAATGAAAACGTTACGGTACCAGGTTTTTTTAAGTACTGGTGGTACCGAGTACCCGGTCAACCCGGTTCTTGATGCGCTCGCTATCAGAAAGCTATCCTCTCAGTGTTGCCAAGTCCGCGGTTTTGCCGCGGAATTGGGCTGCTTAACACTGTTGCCGCGGGTTGTTGTTCATAGGGGTGTAACGGTACACGTATTCGTACCGAACCGTTTCGGTACGGGTCTTTCGGTTCGGTACGCATGTGAACCGAACGAATACAGTTTTTTTTTTCTCCGGAAATTCAAATAATAAATGCTATTTTGACAGTCTTTAGATGTGGCATGACAGATCGCTGTATAAACGCCTTGGAGAGCCGCTTCTAGGACGGTTCAGAAACGTGCTGGTATAATCCCAACACAAGCACTGACTAGAGTGGCCGCGATCAGCTCCGGTTCCCGTGTCTGAGCCG